CCTGGGGCAGCCCCTGGCACAGCCCCCCAGCGACTTCGGCCTGGGCAGCGTGAGTGGGGCACGGCGGGGTGGGGAGGGGGACATGGGGACCCCCCCAGGAGGGTCCTGGCGGGGGTGGGACATGGGGGTGGAGACCCTCGGGTGGGTCCCCAGGGGGGAGATGGGGACAGGGGGCCCTCTGTGGGGGTGTCTCCTCATGCGTCCCTCCCCGCAGCTGGAGCAGTTCGGGATCGGGGAGAGCCCCCCCGGGAACAGCGGAGGGTTCCCCGAGGAGTTGGGGGCCCTGAGTTACCCCCCGAGCGAGGGGGGCTACGACCCCCCCGGCCTGAACCGCCCAAACCTGAGCAACTGCAGCCGCCACGGCCCCATCCCCAACATCATCTTCACAGGTGGGGGCACGGGGGGTGCCACGGGGGGGTGGCTGGGCTGGGCGAGGTGGAGGGGGGGTCTCTGGGGGGGCTGGGGGGGCTGGAGGAGGAGCTGCGCATCGAGCCGCTGACGCTGGACGGGCTGAGCATGCTGAGCGACCCCTGCGCGCTGCTCACCGACCCCGCCGTGGAGGATTCCTTCCGCTCCGACCGCCTCCAGTGAGCCCGGGGGGGCTCCGGCCCCGCGCCCCGCCCGCCATCCCCGCCCCCCGGCCCCGCCGCCCGCTGCGCTCCCGCTGAAACACCGGCACAGCACCGGCACAGCACCGGGACAGCACCGGGAGAGGCGGGCACGGGCGCCCCAAACCCGGCTGGAGCCAGCCCCGAGGGGGGCCAGCGCCGCGACCCCCCCCAGTCCCTGCCTGCAGACCCCAGAAAAATGGGCAGGGGGCTCCGTCCGGGCCCCAGGGACCCTCCAAGCTGTCGCTGTCAAGGGCTGCGACCCCGCCTGCAGTGAGCCCCCTCCCCCAATTCCCGCTCCGGGAGCCGTCACTGTGGTCCCAGGAAAATCCTGGCAAAATTGGGGAGGGGGCTCCAGGCGCGGCTCTCAAGGGCTCCTTCTGGCTCCAGCGAGGCTGGGGGGGGTCCCCAGCACCCCCCTGTCCCCCTCCTCAGCTCCCACCGGGCTCTGTTCTCCCAGAAAACCCCGGGACCACCTCGGAGTGGGGAAAACTGGGGAGGGGGAGACAATCCGAGCACCCCGTGCCCCCCCCCCAACAAAACAAACCTGGGGGGTTCCCTCCCCTAATTCCCACCCCCAACCGGGCACCGTTCTCCTGGGAAAACCCCGGGAAATTTGGGGAGGGGGGAGCAATCCAGGCGCCCCCAGCCCCCCCGGGGTGGCTGTACATAACCCCGTAGGTAGAGACCCCCGGGGGGGGCTGGGGGGGGCCGCTTCTGCCTTTACTTTATCATTTTTCCGGCTAATCATCATGTTTAAGGAGAAATCCCGCTCCCCCCCCCCAATATGTAGTCCCCAGCCCCCCCCCAAATTACCCAGCTGCCGGGGACGTGTAGAAAGCACTTGTAACTTTGCCCCCCCCCCCAAAATTGCCCCCCCGGGGGAGCACGGGGGGGGCCCGTCCGCGGGTGGGGGGCCCTGGGCCCCCCCCGGAGGGAGCCAGAGTGATTTATTATTATTATTATTTTTTAAAATATATTCTATGTTAATTAAATCCCCCCCTTGCTGGTGTGTGGTTGGTTTTGGGGGTGTTAAAAAGGGGGGGTTCAGCTGTTCCAGACCCCCCCCCCCCGAGCCCTGCCAGGCCCTTGGGGCTGGGGTCACTTAGTGGGGGGGGAACAAGGGGGTCCCTTAATGGGGAGGGGGCAAAGGGGTCTCGTTTTGGGGGGGCAGATAGGATCCCTTACTCTGGCGGGGGGGAGGAAATGGGGTCCCCCACTTTCCCTGGGGGCTCCTTGAGTTTCCTGGGGCGGGCTGGAGGGGTCTCCTGTGGGATTTGGGGAGGGGGATCTGAGGATTTTGGAGGGGGGGGGCGGTTGGTCCCCGGCGGGTACCGGGAGTCCTCCGGGCCGGCAGGGGGCGCTGTCGCCAGGTACCGGGGGGGGAACCGGGGGGACCGGGCCGGGTCGGGAGTCCCGCGGGGGCTGCGGAGGCTGCGGGGCCGGGTCTGGGGTCTGCGAGGCCCGGGGCAGGATCCGAGCCGCCTGTGGGGCCGGTGTGGGGCCGTCACCGGGGAGGGGGACACGGGGATGCGGACCCCGCCGGGGGGGGGCACCGGGGCGGCCACGGGGATGGGGAACCCTCCGGAGGCGTCACCCGGGGACAGAGGATCCCCCACCGGGGGGGACCCGGGGGTGGGGGACCCTCCCAGGCCCTCCGCAGGAGGTGACCCCCGCCCGGGGCTGTCCCTGTCCCCGGGGGGGTCTGGCCGCCGTCTGAGGGGGTGTCACTGCTCCCGGCCGTTGTGACCCCTCGGTGGCGGCACCGTGACCTCCGTACCGGGGGTGCCCTCCCGGGGTCACGGTGCCACCCCCGTGGCCCTGCGGGGTGTCGGCGGTGGGGTCGCGGCCGTGTCGCCCCCCGCCCCTCCCCGGTGTGGCGGGGCCGGGGTGACGCGCGCGCCCGGGGCCCGGCGCCGCTTCCTTCCCCTTTCCCGCTGCCCCCATTCTCCGCTCCGCGCCTCCCGGGACTCCCCGCGGGCAAGCCGGGGGTGCCGCGGGCACGGGAGGGGGGCTGGCCACACTGGGGGGGCTCCGGGGACGCGGGGATATTGGGGACGGGGCGTGCTGCTGGGGTCCGGCGGTGCTGGGGACAGGGAGGGGGCGCAGGAAGGGAGCGGGTCCCCAAACCGGGGGTGCCGCAGGGTGGGGGTCCTTCCTCCGGGCACTGCCGAGGAGACCTGCCCGTGCTGGGGAGGGGCGGCTGGAAGGGCTGGGGGGGTCCCCGTGTCCCGCGGCGTGACCGGAAACCTCCTCCCTTCCCGTGCGCTGGGGGAGCGGCGGGGGTGGTGGCATGGCCCGTGTCCCCGCAGATGCTGTGACAGCCATGTCGGACGAGAAGCCCCCGCAGCTCGTGGATTATTTCGTGGTGGCCGGGCTGGCGGAGGGGTCGCGGGCGCTGGAGGAGGAGCAGCAGCCGCGGCCGGCGCGGCCCGGGGAGCCCATCACGGACGTGGCCGTGATCATCCGCTCGCAGGGCGAGGAGGTGCCCCAGGGCTTCACCTGCATCGAGACCAGCACGTCGGGCCACCCCGTGGACCTCAACGCGGGGCTGCTCAACAACCCCCAGATGTTCCTGTGCTACAAACGCGGGAGGGACAAACCCCCCCTGATCGAGCTGGGGTGAGTGGGGGGGACACCCGGGTCCTGCTTCGTGTCACGCCAGGCTGGGGGAAGTTTGGGAAGCTGGGAAAGAACCCGGAGGTGCCTCTTGGGGTTCCCCTCACTCCTGTCCCCTCTCAGGGTGCACTATGAGGGCAAGGACCGCCCCAAGCCGGGCTACCAGATCCTGGACACGACCCCCTACAGCCGCTCGGCCAACCTGGCCTCGGGGTCGCCGGGCCACCAGCGCACGTTCCTGACGTTCCGGCGCGCGGCCGAGCCCCCCGGCCACCACACGCTGGGGGTCACCGACATCTGCCTGGTGATGCCCAGCAAGGGCGAGAGCACCCCGCACACCTTCTGCCGCGTGGACAAGAACCTCAACACCAGCATGGTGGGGTTGGGGGGGGGTCCCTCTCGCCCCCCCGGTGCTGCCCAGCTGCTGCTGAGCCCCAAAATCCCGATCTCTCCTTGCAGTGGGGCCCAGCGTTGTTCCTGTGCTACAAGATCGCCGTGGCCAAGGACAACACGTTGGTCTACGAGGCAGGTGGGGACCTGGGACTGGGGGTTCTGGGTCCTCCCAGGGGGAGCCAGAGTTGTTTATTGCCATTATTGCTTTTAAAAATATTTTCTGGGTTGATTAACCTCCTCCAGCCGGCACAGGGCTGATTTGGGGAGGTGCAGGAGCCCCTGGGTCCCCTCAGGAGGATTTGGGGAGCAAAAGGTGGGGCCCTTTAGCTGCCCCAGCACCCCTGGGGTGGGGGGCTTGCCAGGCTTTTGGGACTGGAGTCACTTACTGGGGATGGGGGGACAATGGGGTCTCTTACTGGGAAGTGTGGCATCCCTTACTGGGGTGACAATGGGGTCTCTTACTGGGGTGACAGTGGGGTCTGTTACTGGGGGTTGGGGGCAATTTGGTTTCCTGTTGAGGGGAAGTTTTGGGAGTGGTTTTGTGGAGCTGTGGGCACTCACCTGGCTGCCCCCTCCTCACTGGGGTGGGTGAGATGACCTGGGGGGCTGATCCTGGTGTCTGGTGTCCATGTGTCCTTGTGTCTGTGTGTCCGTGCAGGGCTGCTGAGCCGCTACCCCGAGCAGGACAGTGAGTCCTTCCCGCTGCCCGAGTCGGTGCCCGTGTTCTGCCTGCCCATGGGGGCCACCATCGAGAGCTGGCCCGTGGGCACCAAGTACCCCCTGCCCGTCTTCTCCACCTTCGTCCTCACCGGCGCCTCGGGGGACAAGGCACGGCAGGACAGGGGGCTCGGGGGTGTGGGATGGGGGGCCCCAGTGCCAGGGGAGGGGTTGGTCTCAGCACCCACAGCCTTGTGGGACTGGGGTCCCTGTGCCAGGGGTTCCCATCCCTTGTGGGACCAGGATCCCAGTACCTGGGGGTCCCAGCACTGTGAGACCACGATCCCCAGTGCCAAGGGTTTCCCACCCCTCATGAGACTGGGATCCCAGGTGCCAAAGGGTTCCCAGCACTGTGGGACCAGGATCCCTGTGCCAGGGGTTCCCATGCCTCATGGGACCAGGATCCTGGTGCCAGAGGTTCCCAGCACTGTGGGACCAGGATACCAGTGCCCGGGGTTCCCATCTCTTGTAGGACTGGGATCCTGGGACCAGGGGTTCCCATCCCTCATGAGACAGGGATCCCTGTGCCAGGGGTTCCCATCCCTCACGAGACAGGGATCTCTGTGCCAGGGGTTCCCATGTGCCAGGGGTTGCCATCCCTTGTGAGACAGGGATCCCTGTGCCAGAGGCTGCCATCCCTCACGAGACAGGGATCCCTGTGCCAGGGGTTCCCATCCCTTGTGAGACAGGGATCCCCGTGCCAGAGGTTCCCATGTGCCAGGGGTTCCCATCCCTCACAAGACAGGGATCTCTGTGCCAGGGGTTCCCATCCCTCATGAGACAGGGATCCCAGTGCCAGGGGTTCCCATCCCTCATGAGACAGGGATCCCCGTGCCAGGGGTTCCCATCCCTCAGGAGAGCAGCATCCCCGTGCCCGGGCTGCCCTGACGGCCGTGCCCCGCAGGTGTACGGCGCCGCCATCCAGTTCCACGAGGCGTTCCCGCGGGAGCGGCTGTCGGAGGCGCAGGCGCTGCGCCTGGGGCTGCTCAGCGTGGTGGACCGGCGGCCGGTGCCCGGGCGCTCGCTGCACACCCGCAAGAGCATCTGCGTGCTGTCCCACTGGCCCTTCTTCGACGTCTTCCGCAAGTTCCTCATGTTCATCTACCGCTACTCCATCTCGGGCCCCCACGTGCTGCCCCTGGAGACGTGAGCGCGGAGAAGGGGGGGCTCCGGGGGGGGCGGGGGCCCGCGGTCACCCCCCCGCTGACGGGGCCGCTCCGCCCGCAGGCACATCTCCCACTTCATGCACAACGTGCCCTTCCCGTCCCCGCAGCGCCCGCGGATCCTGGTCCAGGTGAGTCACCTCGGGGGAGGGGCTCACAGCGACCCCCAGCCCAGCCCGGCGTGTCCCTGTGTCCCCCACCACGTCTCCGTGTCCCTGCAGATGTCCCCGTACGACAGCCTGCTGCTGTGCCGGCCCGTGTCCTCCCCGCTGCCCCTCAGGTAGGGCTGGGGGATGCTGGTGTGGGGAGGGGGACAGGTGGGGAGGGGGCCGTGGGTGACCAGGTGATGTCCCCGCCCGCAGCGGGGCCAGTTTCCTGACGCTGCTGCAGAACCTGGGCCCCGACAACGCGGTGGCACTGCTGGTGGCCGTCCTCACCGAGCAGAAGCTGCTCATCCACTCCCTGCGCCCCGATGTCCTGACCAGCGTGGGCGAAGCCCTGGTGGCGGTGAGTGACCGCAGGGGACACCGCAGGGACGCTGAGGGGACGTGCCACCGTGGGGCTGGGGGCCCGCCGTGCTGGGGATCCTGGTCGCACAGCGCTGGGGACCTGTGGCACTGGGGACTGTCACCCCTCAGCACTGGGGATCCCTGCCCTGCGGTGCTGGGAGCGCTGATCCCGTAGTGCTGGGGACCTGCTGTGGGGATCTCCCTGCCACGGTGCTGGGGATCCCCGTTCCGTGCTGCTGGGGGTCCCCGTTCCGTGCTGCTGGGGATCCCGGTCCCGTGCCATTGGTGATCCCGGTCCCGCAGCTCTGGAGACCCCACCCCGCGGCGCTGGGCCCCCCATCCCGCCTGGCGGGGGCCCTGCGGCGCTGACCACCCTCGTCCTGTCCCCAGATGATCTTCCCCCTGCGCTGGCAGTGCCCCTACATCCCGCTGTGCCCGCTGGCGCTGGCTGACGTGCTGTGTGCCCCCGTGCCCTTCATTGTAGGCATCCACTCCAGCTACTTCGACCTCTACGAGCCCCCCCGCGACGTCATCTTCGTCGACCTGGACACCAACACCATTTTCCAGTGAGTGTCCCCAGGGCTGGGGGCGGGTGGGCTGTCCTGGGGGGTCCCAGGGGGTCCCGCCCTGCCCTGGTGCCTGTGCCCCCAGGAGCGAGGAGCGGAAGCTGCTGTCGCCCCGCGCGCTGCCCCGCCGGCCCTGCAAGGTGCTGCTGGCCTCGCTGCACAGCCTGTCCCAGCAGCTGGATGAGCGTGAGTGGGGGTCCTGGGGCTGGGCTGGGGGCTCCAGGGTGTCCTGGGGGGTCTGAGTGTCAACACATCCCCCACCTGTGCTGTTATCCCAGAATAGCCCAAACTGGGAGTGACCCACTGGGGTCAAAGACCACCCTGAAATCCCCCCTGGCCTGGGGGTATTTTCCAAGCGGGATCAGAGCTGTGGCTTCACTCCCTCATTCCTGGGGTGTCGCTTCCCAACCAGCCCCACCCCTGGGGCTCTGCAGCCGCGGGACTCATCCGGCTGGGCATCCCTGGTGCCAACGCCGTCCCGTCCGTGTCCCCGGTGCCAACGCTGTCCCATCCGTGTCCCCGGTGCCAATGCTGTCCCGGCTGGCTGGGCATCCCTGGTGCCAACGCCGTCCCGTCCGTGTCCCCGGTGCCAATGCTGTCCCATCCGGCCAGGTGTCCCCGATGCCGACACTGTCCCGTCCGTGTCCCCGGTGCTGACGCTGTCCCGTCCCTGTGCTGATGCTGTCCTGTCCGTGTCCCTGGTGCCAACGCTGTCCCGGCTGGCTAGGTGTCCCCGATGCCGACACTGTCCCGTTCATGTCCCCGGTGCTGATGCTCTCCCGTCCCCGGTGCTGACGCTGTCCCGTCCCTGTGCTGATGCTGTCCCGTCCGTGTCCCCGCAGTGCTGAGCGCGCCGGGCGAGGAGGAGCCTCCGGAGCTGGTGCTGAGCGACGCGGAGGCCGCGGGTGCCCGGCGGGCGCAGCTGGAGCTGGAGGCGCGGGCGGCCTTCCTGCGCTTCATGGCGTGCGCCCTGCGCGGGTACCGCTCCTTCCTGCGCCCCATCGCGCCCGCGCCCGCCCCGGCCGGCCGCGACGCCGGCAGCCTCTTCGCGCTGCAGGGTGAGGGGGGATCGGGGGGTGGCCCTGTGGGTTCTGTGCCATCCTGTCTGTCCAGTTCTGTCTCATCTTCATCCCGTCCCATCCTGTGCATCCCATCCTGTGCATCCCATCCTGTGCATCCCATCCTGTGCGTGCCATGCCATGCCATGCAATCCCATCCTGTGCATCCCATCTTGTGCATCCCATCCTTTGCATCCCATCTTGTGCATGCCATGCCATGCCATTCCATCCCATCCTGTGCGTGCCATGCCATCCCATCCCATCCCATCCCATCCTGTGCATCCCACCCTGCACGTCCCATCTTGTGCATGCCATCCTGTCCTGTGCATCCCATCCTGTGCTTCCCATCCTGTGCATCCCATCTTGTGCATGCCATGCCATGCCATTCCATCCTGTGCATCCCATCCCATCCCATCCCATCCCATCCCATCCCATCCCATCCCATCCCATCCCATCCCATCCCATCTCGTGTGTCCCA